TGTTTTCAAATAGGACTGAAAATATGGTACTGAAATCTAAAGGTGTACTGGAATAGCAAAAGATGCATTCCAAAAGCTAAGCAAAGTATTAAGAAACAAGAAAAGAGTGCTTAACTATTATGCAATATCAGTGCTCCTACAGGGTGTGATGGATAAATTATCATCTAAATTATGCAAAAATGAAAATAACACTGACATCTAATTTTAACAGATATACTTACCAAAATTACATGAAAATATCTTGAAATACGAAAGAGTAAATTTATTCAATGAGATTGCCGTTGGCTTCAACCACAGCCTCAGGATGACTCCAGAATCTCCTGCATCTCTTCTGGATGGTCTCCTTGTTTAAGTTGGTGAATGCTGCTATCATCCTTGCCTTCAGTTAATCATTGGTGTTAAAAGGAGTTTTGGTTGGTCTCTTGCTCAACAGTGACAAAGGTGGTTGCAGTCTGGAGAGTTAGGTGGCCAGATATAAGGGGTGATGTGGTCACAGAAATTGTTTGACAGCCATGACAAGGTTCTCCTGCTTGTATGACATGGTGTAGAGTCCTGTTGCAAGATATAGGGTCTGCCAGCAGCCTCTTGATCCAGGGCAAAATTATCTTTTCAAGAACACACATGAATGGAGGCATAACGTTGATATCACTTTGTAATCACCATTAGACTTATCCAACTATTTCTAAATCCTCTGCACTCTTCTCAGATTGACACCCAAACACTCTGAAATGTTTGTATTGGAGATTCCAGTGCAAATGCCAAGTAGAACAGCTTTGTTTCCAAATTTCTGGTGGAGGGAATTGTGTGATGGTACTCTACTTCTTACAGACAGTGCCAATCTGACTCTACTCAACTGTGCAGTCAACAAAATCAAAAACATTGTGTGAAATTAAAAATATAAAATGGTAACAATTTACTTATTGTTAGGTCCAAAGGATGACTTGGAAAATGACAGTGAATACTGGATAATCTCATCACAGATGAAGAAGAGACTTACGGCAACAGAAATGTGGTTCTACAAAAGGATGCTGAGAATACCATAGACTGAGCATATGAGTAACAAAAAAGTTTTAAGGAAAATGGAAACATAAGTGACACATCTACTTAAAATCAGAAAGATACAGTGGAAATTTCTCGGGCAAATAATGATGAAAGAGGGCTTGGAGAACCTGACACACACAAAAACAAGGAGGACAGGGGGAAACAGAGAATAACCTACATCATATATTTGTATAAATGAATGACAGAAAAGGGTGTGGGTGGGATGGTGAAAAGTCAAATACTAATAAGAGCTGCAAAGAATAGGAAGTTATGAAGAGCCATGATTGCCCAAGTCCTGAAAGGAGACAGCATATAGAAAAAGAAGAATGCTTATTGAATTTTCATCACACATAATTAGAAAGAAAAATTCTGTATTAAACATATTTGTTATATTCTTATTTATTATGAACCATTTCCCTTCACATTTCTGTTGCTTCAAGTTTTTACTTCATCTCCCTTTAATGAATTCTCCAAACCAAAATGGCAACATCTATTGTAAATGCAATGTTTGGTTGAATAAAGTTAAAATTTGCAAATTTTCTGGTATGTAAGCTGGATCAACATACACCTAATGTAGGCCAGTGAGTACAATGGCAAAAATGTTGTGTGCATCAAAATAATAGTAATTCCTCATAGTGAACATGTAAATAATGGTAATCCCTTATCCCAGAAATTCAACATCTTATTGTTGCTCTGTTGTTAATATTATAGGTTCTCTAGTACTGAACTATTATAGAATATCAGTCCTATATGGCAGTGAATGTTGGACAATCTCATCACAGATGAAAAAGAGACTTAAAGCAACAGAAATGTGATTCTACAGAAGGATGCTGGGAATACCATGGATGAAACATGTGAGCAGCAATGAAACAAAAAGGACACTTATACAAAACATCAGGAAGAGGCAACTGAAATATATAAGGTATATAATGAAAAAGGATGACTTGGAAAATCTGGTACTCACAGGACAGAGGGATAGAGGAAAAAATGCATAAACTATGGCTTCTTTTTGCTGTCTTCACAGTTTTGTATTTTGAGATGATCTCTTAGATGGGTTGCAATACAAGGCTTAAAGAGTTTGGGGTACCCTCCTATTTTTTCAATAGCCAGAGGAGATGCAATCATACTTTTCCCAATGTATTAGCATAAAGTGACTGCAACAGCCTTAGCCGAAATTTGAACTATGCATGTTGATTCCATTTTCAATATCAATAACCATTATGCCACCCATGTATCCTTTTATGTATATTTGCTACAGAGCTGTTAATGGGTAATATGATTCTAATGAATTAATTAAACAAAGTATTTCATTACTTACATTCTTCTTCTTTGATTCTTATTAAATTTCAGAAGGTGATAAATTTCATCAAATTCCTTTTCTGAGGAATTTACTATTTTCTTTCTTTTAAAAATATGTTATTTCTATTTATTTTATTTGAACATGGTAATCTTTATTTCAAATGAGTGTTTTCATCATAAAATATAACCTTCATTTTAATATCTATAACCATGCATAAATGTCCATTCATATGTTTGAGGGAGAGTAAGTAGGCTCTGACTTGTTCTGAAGATCCATACATGATTTTTCAAGATACTATATGAATTAGATCTCTGAAGAATTCACAGTGCAACATAGAGCTATATCAATCTATGAACCATCAAAACAGGAGTAGCAAATTTTCATTTTTATATATATATATATATATATATATATATATATATATTTGCTTGTTGGCATAGGTTTGTATGCTATTTTTGTGATGTCATTGAACACTTGATGCCACTTTTCTGATGCCAATGAATACTCGTTGTCACTTTTGTAATGCTTGTTGTGGTAGAGACTTTGTAATTGCAGATACAACTATAGTAACGCCGTTGAACAATACTGGTGTCAGACATCTTCAAATAGCATTCACACTAATAGTACTTGCTCGATAATACTTGCTTGAATAGTAACCACCATATAATGATCTGAATAGAGAAATAGTATAGCGAATAGAGTAGAGAATATCAGTCTGTATACTAATAGAGGATAGAGTAGAAATAACAGATCGATATAGTATAGAGGATAGACTAGGAATTGCGATCAATCTAGATGTCATGCGACTTGCTATATATATGTTTCCGCTATGGTCATGTCGTCTACTTAATTCACTAATAGGATCACCTGTGTTTGTTCGCTGGCGATCTATGTTCAAACTCAAGTGTCAGCAGTGACACTTTATTCCTTCTCTAACTCTTATGCATACATTTATGTCGTAAGTATCATTTATATCATTTGTACCTATACTGAGATACAAATTCTTGCAAACTATTCGTAAAATATTTTTTTTATGGTTTCTATGTCTATCTTTATTTATTGTTTAAAGCAGTGGTTCTCAACCTTGTTTTATCAATGGACCCCTTTTCCCTTCTGCTTTTTCTTGGTGGACCCCTTTCCCCTTCTTTTTTTTCTTGGTGGACCCCTTAATAGCTATTTGACATAAGACAAAAATATTCTATTTTTCACTAATAAAATTTTGAGGGTTTAATAATCAAAGAAATATTATATGATTGAGCTTAATTTTTAAATGAAAACTAATTTAACGCAAATAAATTATTCTGCTGCTGCTGATTATTATTATTATTATTAGTAGTAGTAGTAGTGGTAGTGGTAGCAGCAGCAGCAGTCACTATCTTGTATTATTTGGCATCCCAATATCTATAATTCCTATCTGAAAAAAAAACCAACAGAATAGTTTACTTATTGGAAAAAATAAATTTAATCATTTAGCTTTCAATTAAAGCTAAAAGGAAATCTTCCAGAATGATTTTTTATTTTTAAAAATTAATTTTAAACCTTAGGTATGGAAAATTCAGTAGAGGTAGCTACATAAAAGAAAGAAAGAAAGAATCATTCATATATATTTCAATATAGTGTAAATTACAATAGAAATTTAATTTTTAATAATAAAAAACATTCTAAGTTGGCTTTCTTCATGGACCACCAAAATATCATTGTAGACCCCCAATTTGTTATATTTTGCCTGTGGAACCCCAGAAATATTACATGGACTCCCTAGGGCCCATGTGGACCCCGGTTGAGAACTCCTGGTTTAAATGATATGTGTTTGTGTGTTTGTAATGTTTTCTGTAAATATATACAAAGAAAAGGAGATAAAGACAGAGAGAGATACTGAGAAAAGAAAGAGAGACTGGGAATATTTACATTTATGCAATATGGAGAGAGACAAATAGTAATCAGAGAGAGAGAGAGAGAGTGAAAGAGAATGAAAAAGGGTAAAAATCAAAAGAATAGACCAATAACTCTAGCAATATACACATAATTATTCACTGTATGTGTGAGTGCGTGCATTTTCCTGAATTTCAGCATATATATTCATTTCTGTAAATTTTTTGTAGTTATCCATGTGTGAAAGTTTATTGCATCTGCTTTCACTCTCAATAAGGCATGCTTAAGCCTATTTGATTAAAATACTAATTAATCCACAAATTAATTTCTGCTTCAGAAAACAGGATAAATAGAAGATCAATGTTTCCCAAACCCATTTAAGTGAACTTACTTGAACAATGAATGACTTAAAACTGAATTAAGATATCTCTGTGTATGAATCAGTTTCTATAAGAAAAAAGGAAATTGAACAGAGAATATGATGTGCTAGGAGTAGTTTCACCCAATACTGCAAGTTGGTGCAAAACTAAAAAATAAAACTAGAGTCATGTTCTTAAATAGCCATGACAGATAGAGACTTTTTTATAGATCTCATGCATGGTACCAAACGCATTCACAAATATCTAAACTGTCAGATCTTTCTGTCCTTTGTAGCTCTTAGCAGTGTTTTATTTTTAACTATCTCTTCTATTCCCTGTTCTGACAACCATTTATATAAGCTTGTTAGGTAGGTTATTCTCTGCTTTCTTTAATCTCTCTTACCTTCAATATGTCCTGCTTATGTTCACAACTGAAACACCATTTTCCATACGATCACCATAGTTAAGCAATATTGGGCCTGGCCAGTACCTAGTGGGGTAATCACTTGGGACTATCAGGTGCTGTAAGTTAGGATGTGCATGCGGTGTAATGGATAATGGATTAGAATTGTTAATCAGAGATCTGAGTTTCAATTCTCATTGGGTTCATTATATTCATTTACACGCAAATACCCTTGAGAAGGGTAAGAATCCACACCTATGTTTTATTTAGTAAGATTTGTATCAATAAACCATTATTATGGATCCCAACCAAATCTTACAATGTAAAAATATTTTCTTGCTTTAAATAACCTGCAAAGTTTGATAAGCCACAGGAAATGAATGAATGAATGAATGAATGAATGAATCAATATATCTTGTGAGTATCAAATTTTCCAAACCCTGTTTCCAAATTATGTTCAATAGAAATTTCAACTCTTTCTGATGTTAAGTATAAGTGTCCTTTTTCTTTCCATTTTCTATAAAACTTCATCATTGCTCACATGTTTAGTCCATGTTATTTTCAGTATTCTTTTGTAGAAGGACATATCTGTTGCTTCAAGTCTCTTTTTCATCTGTAAGGAGATTGTCCAACATTCACTGCCATACAAGAGGACTTATATTGAATAACAGTTTCATAACTCTTTTCTTTCTTTTTAACAAACTTTTTTTCTATTTCTTAATACTTTGCTTAGCTTTTGGAGGCATCTTTCACTATCCAAATGTGCCTTCAGATTTCAGTGTCACACTTTCCCTCCTCTGTTAAAACATTACCCAGATATTTAAATTTGTGTACTTGTTTCATTTTGGTATCACCAATTCTTAATTTTTTAATGTTGGACTCTTTCTTTTGAAAGTTACTTCTGACATGTTTTATAAAAAAGAAAAATAATTTACATTCATCCATAAATCTTCTCCACATACTGCTAAGACAAATATTAAATGTTTAATATTAAAAGTTTTTATGCCATCAATATTACTAATTATACAATATTACTGCAAAGACTGTATGTCAAAAAAGATTTTTTTACCATGATGAATTAAATGTATGGTCTAGTAGGAAATTCATAATTTTCTTTAGTATAGCCATTAATGTTTGGTTTTGTATTTATATTTATCTGAATTATATCTCATTGTTACATTACTATGAAAGAAGGTTCAATATTCATCTATTATTCCAAGATTATATGTTGATTATTTTGTTATTATGCTGATTATATCTTATTACATTACTATGAAAAAAAGGTCAAGATTTTTCTATTATTCCAAGATTATATTTTGATTTCATCAGTCAATCAATTATGTGCAATGTGTGATACATATTTAGGCAATCATGTATCTTTCAATATATGACTGATGAGGCAGATTTTTTCCTGAAGTAGGTTTCCATTTCTTTCTGTGGCAGACTAATTGTCATCCAAGGATATAGAACTCGGTCTGTCCTGCTATTTACCCATAGCTGTGGGGAGAAGAAGAGAATTCATACCTTTCCCAAGGGTATTAGCATGTAAGTGAATGTAATGGATTCAATTGGAATTTGAACTTGGGTCTCTGATTCAATCTGAGCCACTATCCATTACTCCACTATGGAAAACAAATACCATTCTTTGGAAAATGAAGGGCCTCTTCAAAAAGGAAAAAAACTGACATAAATAATCATCAGGAACCTTTTTCTTTCTTTCTTTCTTTTTTTTTCAAACAGGATTCCATATTAATAAGTGGCCAGTGGACCCAACAACTGCCATAAAAAGGCTTGGAATATGAGAATATTTATGTTATATTTTGCTTCAAATCAGTGACTAACACATTCTGGAAAATCATTTGTGCTTAAACAAAGATACCAATTAGGAACCAAAGAACTTAATTTTGCTGCAATTTATTTTGACTGAAGCATTTTTCAAATCTACTAAAATGATACGAAGAAGTGCTTAAACGTATAAAGTAAGGGGTATTATGCATATAATGGTGATAAATTATGTCTAATAAAAAAGAAAACTATCTCATTTCAATGCAAAAACATGAATCTGTTTTTGGAGCCAGTGTAAAACAGAACCTAGGCTCACTGTGACAAGATGCCATACATAATCCATCAGTCTGGTCACATGAAACAATTATTATAGGGAAAAACGGATTGGATAAATAGAGTATTTTAATATTTGCTCATGGGCCACTCAAAATCATTCTGTGGGTTACAGGTTGCCTACAAATGAATAACTTAAACTTAATGAATAAAATTATCCTTCAATATCAGGCTTTGTGTGATCTATTGTTGTTCAGTGATCATGTAAGTTTTTGTAGCTTGGTTTTAGAATGGTTCTGCAATCTTTACACCATAATATTTCGCGTGAAGTTTGGCAAATATGGTAATAATAATAATAATAATAATAATAATCAGCAGCAGTAGCAGCAGTCCCCGTGTATCTCAGGCAAGATAAATTCACAGATTTCTGCCTCTCTTCAGGTTGGTTTTTGAATTCTGAATTTTTCTTCTTTTAGACTGGTTGCAACTTCACAATAAGAGATGTTTAACTTATATCTGGGGGTTAGAGATGGATTATTACCTTTTCCAAGACTATTTGTGCAAAAGTTAAGCATAACAAACTAGGGTGGAATTTGAATTTGGCTCACCAATTTATCTTTCCAAGTGGCTGTTACACTAACTATGCATTCATTCATTAAGGAATGATCAAGATATCATTGAAACAAAACTCTTAACACAGACAACGCATATTAAAAATATTTTGAAAAACAGAAAGAAAAGATAATGTTAAGAATATTAGCTTAAGACAAGAATATAACAAAACATTTAAATAACTATCAAAATGGGAAACATCTAAGTTAGATGAAGATGTACATGAAAACTGATTTCTCAATAGCAATTTTTAGTGTTGAATGTAGAACAATATTAAATAAATCTGATGACTGGGTTAGAACTTAGATCCTTCATGGAAATAGTCAAATAATATATTAGTGGGTAGGTAGAGTAATGATTTGTGATTTTGTTTTATTTTTATTTTTTACAATAATGTTCACCGAGTGCAAGGCCCAAGAGCTACTAAAGGTAGAGAATTACAGATAAAGAGGTAAAGTGCACAGTTTATGAGGCTATGTTGGCAAGATAATAGTTAACTCTAGACTTGGACAGGTTAAAATTGTAGTGATTGAGAAAACCTGGTTTCAAAATGTAGCAGTGGGAAGATGTTTTCAAGTGGAACAGGCATTTGACCAATAGAATACAAATGGAATGAGGATGGTTCATTACAATGCGCATGGCTTGGCAAGTCTTAGCTGGGAAAGGTAGAACTGGTGGAACTTAGAAATGTAGTTTCGTCTGTGAAAAATGGTTGCACAGTGGAAAATAATTGATCACTCACAAGGATGCAGAGATGATTTTGGACTCAGTTGAGACTGGAAAGTGAAGAAAGTACATTGTGCTCATATGTGGCAGCAATACTTCATTTTGGGGCTTTTGTAAATATAGAAGATAGCAGGAGGAGTCAGGTACTTATGAGAATGATATAAGGAAGCAACCATTTTTTTTCAGCATCTTTAAAGATGGATCATATAGATGAGTTCCACTTGAGCATTAAATTGAGCTTAAGTCCAAATAGGTGTTCAAGTCTAAAGGTCTCCCTAAAAGAACACTTATTCTTCGCAATAGGGAAAATGCAAGGTCTTTGCATATAAGGAATTATTGTAAGGTTTTGGACAAAAGCATTTTGAATGGTACAGGTGATATCCAAGAAGATTCATCTTAAAAAGTATGATTCTGCATGATTTCTAGAAAGATTTTAAAATCATCATATGAAGAGAAAGGCCTCCAGCTTCTCCAGATATCAATCCAGTAGAAACAGACATTCAGTAAAAGAGATTTCTTTTTAAACATTTCACCTCAAGCAAGGAAATAATGGCAGTTTGACATTACTGGGAGTGAAAAAGAATAAGAAGAAATTTGTGAGGAGAAAGACAATGAAAGAAAAGGCAAGACAGAAGATGACAATTAATGTTGCCTTTAAATTTTTGAAGCAAAAAGCTGTGAGTTCATCAAAATAAAAAATCTATTAGAATAGAACATATGGTTACATCTAGTTATTTCATCAATAAAATGATTTTATAGTTTTCAATCTAGTAGTACATTTAAATTCATGTGATCAAGATACTAAGGTGGTAAGCCCATTAGAAAAATTAACATGAAAATATTTACAGAAAAGACAGAGGGAAGTCATGTCATAATAGTGGGGAAGTCACTGGTGTTGAGATGCCAGGTCAGGACCAATAACATTACAAACCTTTCTTTAGATTTTGTCAAGAATCTTGGGATATATAGCCAGAGCAACACCAGACCAGATATGGCAGACATATACAATTCACAGACAAATTGTAAATTTATAAATATGCAAGATGGATTCTGACAAGAAAAATTATCTAGCACAATACTGTTAACCAAATTTCTTAGCACAGCAGACCTAGCAATTTATTCAATATAATTGCACCATTTCATGTCAGTAGATAACATAAAACCAAGAAAATGCTTGTGTGAATGGATGGCAGATTGGGTGGAAAAGTGACTGAAGTCAAGATGGCAAGTCAGGACTGCTAACATTGCACATACTTCTTTTGATTTTGTTGAGAATATCTCAATATATTACAGGAGCTCTGGATTAGGTATGGCAGTAATATACAATCCATGGATGAATGATAGATTATAAATGTTCTAGATGGTTTCTGGTAAGAAATATAGTCTGGCATGACACAGTGAATCAACTTTCCTAGTAGAAAATGGCAAACAATATTTAAGATGTTTGGGAAGCAATAAAAACTGCAAGTAATGTTCAAAGGCAAATGTTATTAAAGGCAACAAACATTTTCTGTTGATTACTTATTATTGTTTCACTTTTCCAAATTATAAATAATCCTTCTACGATAAGGAAATTCCATCAGAAATTGTCAATAGTTCATTGTGAAAGAAACATGCTCCAGACTTTTGGTTTTCATAAGTCATCATTACAGTAGATAGAGACAAATATGTATTGTTGGTCATTTTGCTATAAAATGTATTGTTGGTAATTCTATTATAAATATGTATT